ACGACAAATCAAGTCAAGCTGCTGCTCAAATTTCATTCTCTCGTGTTTTGCCCGGAGAGGAAAGGATACATGAAAATGTCATTGTTGACAGTAAGTTGATCAAAATTTCTAACCAAAACGCCTTTCCTCTCTTTTTGAAATCTTACAGAGCCAATTGTTGGACCATCAGATCCATCTGGTACTACAGTGTATGAAGTCGTGAAAAGAGCCGCAAACCTTACTTCAAATGGACCTTTTTTGGGAGAGTTAAAGGATGGAGGATACTCATGGAGTAGTTACAATACTGTAAGAAAACATTCATTATATTACCGTATACTCCTTAATTCTAAGTGACCAATTTTTAGACGAATAGTTTATAGGTACTTTACGATGCACAAGTGATTGGCTCAGCATTGTTGCACTTCGGCATCAAACCTGGAGAAAACACTAGAGTGGGAATAGCTGGCATACACTCATTACGGTAATGAATGCTGGATTTTCTCTTCCACTATAATTCACTCCGTGCCAGATACATGACGGCAGTGCATGCTCTTGTCTCCTACAGTATGGTACTCGTTCCTTTATATCACAATTCGAGGATTGATGCCCTATGGTAAGAATTTTTTGAAAAAACATCTTGTAATTGAAATAGCAAGTCATGCTTCAATCAAAAGTTGTTTATCTATACAAGGACACTTTGAGCAGAGCAGTCTAAATTTTCTTGGTATTTTTTGAGTGTTTTTGATGCAGCGTTGGTACCTGTTCACGAGTTTGAATGCCGATTAGATTTGCTATAATTACGGATTTTTTAACACTTGTTTGCCTATAAACATTTGGGCATTGAACTGTTTACATTTTGACAAGGCGTAAACAGCTGTGAACAACGTTCTAGACACATCGACGTAGAGTTGAATCATAACACTCCAGCAAATTTACAAACATATCCCATATGAACAATTTTCTTACAGTTAATTGTGATTCTTTGAACCACAATATTGACGCTATATTGTCGCATAGATCTT